GGCGCTGCCTCCTCCTGCCGGGCCGAGGCGCTCGGGGAGGGCTGTCATAGGCTCATAGAACCAGCCGGGCTGGAAAACCCCCCTGCTTTTATCAAAATGCTGTAAACTATGCCCTGGAGGGCTATCTGACGGCTGCATTTCTATTAACCAGAATGAAACCAAAGATCACTCCGAGTTGTACTTTCTGTTTATAATTTACAGGTCTGTTTTACTTGTCCTTTAATAATGTAACTGCTGTAGCTCTGACAAAACAGGACCTTTCTTAGCATGAATGAACACAGATGAAAACAGTTCTCAGGGAAATAAACCTCAGAGACTCTACGTGGAAGAGTCAAGTCATGGAAAGCCTCAAATAAATGTTCAAGGTTTATTGTTGGAATCTTTTTGTTTGTCTATTTTTATTAGTTTTGTTTTTTTTCCCTTAAAGATAAATAGAGTTTGGTAGTGAAAAGAAGTGCATTTCAGCTTATACAGCAGAGGGAATTAAAGCCTTCAGAGCTTTGCTCTGCGTGGACTTGTACAGGAACCAAGTGCAAAGTCCTGAGCTTAAATGCAACTCCCCAAAACCCGTGGAGGAGGAGTGCATGGGTAAGGCCCCTGAGGAGGCTTCTTGCTGTTTCTTCTCTCACAGCTTTGCTGTTCTCTCAGCAGGCTGATCCAAGGCCACACAGCTGTGCTCTACCAGAGCAGATAGGCTGCCCTGGGGGGGGAGAGGTGGCAGAGCCTGTTGGAGCACTTCAGCTTGACAAAATGTGATCAGGATGGTCAAGGTTCTTTCTGTAAGCTGTTCAGAAATTCACCAAAAGCTTGTACAGGTCTCCAGCCCTTCTGTTTCTGAAGGAGCAGGGCTCTTCCCTGCAGAGTGCCTGGCACTTTATACTTCAGTGAGAAGCAGTTGCAGGCTATGAAGCCACAAGACAGGGTGGCAGCTTTCTCTAGCCCTAGGTCTGCCAAAAAGAAAAGGTATCTTGCTGTATGAAGAGAAATGCAGGTAAAATTACATATCTAAAATTGTTCATGTCTTCATCCTCTGCTAGGCAACAGCTCTACTCTTACTCAGCCGTGGCAGCTGCTGCCATTTCAGAAGTAAGTTATGATTATGGTAGAGGCTTAACTTTGTGTAAGAAAGTTTGAGTAATGAAAGGCTTTTCTTTCCACAGGTCAAGGCTGGCAGTGAGGTGGGTTGTGAGTATTCCCTTGGGTGTTGTTAGGTGTTGTTAGGTATCCCTTTGGTTCCTGGTCTTTTGACTTACACAGATGAGGAAAATGCTCAGGAAATACACCTGGTGCCCATTCCAGCTGTGGAGTGAGGAAAGGCCTCTCAAAAGGGGATATCAAATCCTTAGAGACTCTATTACTAGAAATGGAAAAGAGGGCTCTTCACCAGAGGACAGATTTCTACAAATGTAAATGTGCTTTGTCTTCTGACACTCCCAACATGTGTTGCTGTAAAAAAAGCAAAAGGAAAACAATCCTGCTTCTTCCTGAGTTGGAGAAACAAAAGTCTGTCAAGGCTCTGGGGATCATCAGCCTTGTTCAGGAAGTGCTGAATGATACAAACAGTTATTTTTGGTTCCAGTACATCATTGATGGAAGGAATTTCAGAAGATGCAGCTTAATATGCTATAAACTGATTAACACAAAACAAGGATTCCTGGAAAATGATTACTTGGCTGTGGCACAAAACATGTCTTTTTCTGTCCCCCAAGAGGTGTTTGAAAACAAGGGTTTGCCATGATGACCCAGCTGCAGGTGTAGAGTTTCCACTGAAACTACCTCTAAGGGATATGGAAGCTCCAACTAGCTGGATGGTACAATCTGAGCTGAGGTTTTCTGGTAAAACCTGTGGTCACAGGGCTGAGAAGGGCAGGAGCCCTGGAAAACTTACTTGTTCTTGTCAGCAGCTGGTCTAAACACCAGGCTTGAACTACATCCTGCTGTTGAAACAGCAGCTCAGCAGGCCAGCTGGATTCACCAACTGGATCCTGCCTTCATCTGTAGTAAAATGCAATTTTGGTAAACATCTGATCATAAAATAGTTCTCAAAGGCTCTTTTGGTTGTTCACACCCTTAGGTGACCTCCTCTGTTAACTGTGAGGCCCTTTTCTAAGCTGTCTCCACAATCAGCCTTCCACAGCTTCCCTGAGCTGGAGTTCATCACCTCTGGTATGTATAGTTTTTAAATGTACAACACAGCTGGAGTACGTGTGGTAACTTCAGGGCCACGAAGAAGCTCAGAGGGCTGGAGCAGCTCTGCTCTGGAGACAGGCTGGGATAGTTGGGGTGTTCAGCCTGGAGAAGAGAAGGCTCCAGGGAGACCTTAGAGCAGCTTCCAGTGCCTGAAGGGGCTCCAGGAAAGCTGGGGAGGGACTTGGGACAAGGGCAGGGAGGGAGAGGACAAGGAGGAAGGGATGAAAACTGGAAGAGGGAGATTGAGGTGAAACATGAGGAGGAAATTCTTGAGTCCCTTCCAACTTTAACCATTTCATGATTCTATGCTTCTTGAAACCAAGAGTTACTGCCTCTAAAAATCCCCAGAGCATCAGGTTTGTAATATATATACAACTTTTTATTTTTTTTAACATCCAGATGTGCAAAGACAAAACCAGTGGCAGCTTTGCTCACATAAAGCTGGTCTAACACGTTTGTTAGCAATGTACAGACCTACAGCATTTCCCCCCTAGCAGGTGTTCAGCATTTATTTCCCTGTGTTCTACTCTGTGCCTTTCAGATTCAAGTTGTCTTAAACAAATATTACAATTTCAAGTGGAGGATCTTGGTATCTTTCTGCCAGAACAAAGGGATCTGTTTTATTTTCCATAGCCCAAGTTTACCTCATGATTCTCATCTCGGGTATTTGCGTGGTTTCAAAGCAACACCTCCTGGCAAGCCGTGGTACTGCCTGTGTGCGCAGAGCTGCCTCCCTCTTGGGTTGATGCACACCAGAGCAGCAGGGCAGCAGAGCCATCCGCAGCGACATGGACTGGTTTGAGTTGGAAGGCACCTTCAAGATCATCCAGCTCCAACCCCCTGCATGGGCAGGGACACCTCCCACCAGCCCAGGCTGCTCCAAGCCCCATCCAACCTGCCCTTCAACACTGCCAGGGATGGGGCAGCCACAGCTTCCCTGGGCAACCTGGGCCAGGCTCTCACCACCCTCACACTCCACAATTCCCTCCTCATGTCTCACCTCAATCTCCCTCAGATCACTGTGTGAAGTGGCTGTTACAGCTTCCACTGCAGAAGAAACAGGAGGGAACCTATTTCATAGTTTTTTAAAATGAGAGCAAACATAAGCACTTAGTGCTGTCATGGAATCACAGAATCATTCAGGTTGGAAGGGACCTTAAAGATCATCCAGTTCCAACCCCCCTGCCATGAGCAGGGAACCACCAGACCAGGCTGCACAAAACCTCCAACCTGGCCTTAAAAACCTCCAGGGATGGGGCATCAAAAGCCTCCCTGGGCAACCCATCCCAGTTCCTCCCCACCCTTACAGTGAAGATACAGGTGTCTTCAGGAAGGTACAGGTATCCTACAGGTATCACTGCCTTTGTGTGTGTGTGTGTGTTTATTTATACTACATATGCTGGTTTACAGTGGGCAATGGCACCAAAAGCAATGCAAGACTTTATAAAAAACAGAACAAAACTGTGGAGCCTGCAAACAAAGGATGTTTGCTGTGATAAATGGCAATATGGACACTAGTGTTCACCTTTGCCCCTTTAATTTACTCCCTTCTCTATCCAAGTGTCAACCTGAGCGGCAGAAAACAGAAGTGTGAATGGACATTCAGAACTCTTTAGTTAATCACAGATTTGTTCTGGTTGGAAAAGACCTGTGGAGTCATGGAGACCAAACATTAACCTAACTCTGCCGAGTCCAGTGTTAAACCATGTCCCTGAAATAGTGCAGCTGTCCTTACAAAGGAAAAATACTGCAAAAGCACCAGAGAAACCCAGTGAAGAACAAAATGACAGTTCCCTTATTCATCCCGTACCAGGTCCTGTCGTGCTGTATCAGCAGCAGCACCAAACAACCCAGCACACGGGAGTAGCTTGAGGACATCCAGAATCCCAGGCAATTTGTGGAGAAGACTGAGATGGGGTGTAAATGTTCATCTGTTCACTGTGACTGAAAGCAACACGACGTCCTGGCAGGGGGGCGTCTCTGGAAGGAGACAGCAGAACTGTCAGTAACGGCGAGAAGAAGATGGATGTACCGGAACGTTTCTCCTCTCCCTCCCAGTTTGCTGCCCGATTTATTAACGAAACCCTTTTTTTCTGTCCAGCAACAAACGGCAACGTTAAAACCACCTCTCAGTTCGGCGTCCTCATACCCCGTGTGCCCACCTGGGCTGCACCCCAAGACTTCGAGAGGAGTTTATCCCTGTTGGCCGATTAGCGCGCAGTTTCCGACGACGGGGGGAAACCTCAGACCACAGCAGAACCACCAGTTCCCCTCAGCCACGACACCCGGGGCAGTTCTCA